CACGGCTCCAAACACCAAACAGATCATTGCAGCATTACCCATAATCCCCTCTGTTTCAGCCCTGTTTCCAAAGTGCTGATTCTCTGTCTGTTACTTTAGATGAAAAATAAGGAGCCCCTCCCCACGCCCCTCTGAGAGATATTTGGTTACAAAGAACACAATGGGGCTCTAGGAGGAGATTCTGGTGATAAGGTGGGGGGGGGGTTAATTTTGGCAGCTGTTTCTGATTTAGTCTTTAGACGAAAATGGTTATTAGTTTTAGTCACATTTTAGTCATTTCTATCCTTCATAGTTTTATTCTAGTTTTAGTCGACGAAAACTCAAAACGTTTTAGTCCAGTTTTAGTCGATGAAAAATAAAATTTTAGTCAACTTTTAGTCAAAATGTTGTCAAGTGTTGAAATTCGTAAAGCAACATTTCACTCTCTTAACACTTGTGTAATATCTAGGGATGGGTATCGTTAAGGTTTTCTACGGTACTACTAGTCTTATCGATACTGCTTATCGATCCGGTACTTTAACGGTATTCTTGTATTTACTTTTTGTTATTTTTTATAGGGAAAAACGAACAAATTGTTAACCAAATTAATTGCTTTATTTATATAGACTACTCTACTCGTGTCAACGCGCTGACGCGAAAACACTAATGGCAAACGAGCTTCGTCCACATCGAGCCTTGTAGAGTGTCTCTATACTTCTGAACGCTCCGTCCCCGGCAGATCTCTGTGTTCCTGAGACTTTCAGAATCTCTTTACACAGAGGGGACACATGTTGATGTAGAAAATACATGAAAAAGTGGATTTTGCACAATAGGTGACCTTTACAAAGGAGCAACCTAAGCCCACCTGCAGTGATGTCTGCGCAGCCACCAGGTGAATTGGCCCTTGCAGTCGAGGCAGTTGGTGGTCTCTTTATCGGACCACCAGTGCTCCTCTGCTCGCATTTTCTGCTCAAACTCCAGAGCGTCTGACTTCTGCCACAGAGCATCTTTGTCCCTGGTATTGCACAAAAACACAAATGCAAGTTGAGTGTCATTGACTGCTGTCTTAAGGGGGGACATTATCATTTGAACTGAAAGGAAACATAATGAAACTTTCACAATTGATTCCTGATCATATTTGTTTGTATAACAAGTATTCTGAAATGTTAAGATGAACAAAAAAGGCATATTTTTTTATAAAATATTTGTAAATTTGCAACAGAACAGATATCTGAACATTGGACAAAGCCAGGACAAACAAGTGCTGTTTAATTTTGTTGGCAAATAGAAGTCACTTGTTTTTACAAAGGGAATGTTGTGTCTGTCAAACACTTCATAAATCAGAAAATAATATTGACCTTGATCAATATTGATTGATTGATTGATTGATTGATTGATTGACAGCATAACAAAAATCTAATTCCACCCTGTTGATATTATAATATTAAATATAAAACATAACTAACCTTGAGGTGTTATCTGTGGTTTATATGGGATGCTTCCCATTTATTTGAAGACTGAGCCCATTTGATTTGTTGTATGCACTTTGACTGAACTATTTTTCCTTTCAAATATCAAAGTCATTTTACACGTTGTTTATTCTTGGTACAACAATGAAGGTGTGCCTCCTATTTCCCCCCATCATTGTCAAATATAACAACATGAGAGATACTCATACTGGAAGAAACTATTCAAAACACCCACTGGGTCTATCAAAGAGCAACTGAGCATAACAAGGTGGTAGACATCCAACGAGAACATGAATTTTAACCCCTTTATTCATGAAGAAACGCAGCTGTGACAGAGACAGGTCGTACCTTATCAGCTCGATGAGCCGCTCTCCAAGGTTGCCCTTCGTCCTGTTGAGGTCATCGATCTCTGCAGTCATCTTCATGCTCTGGTTTGCTCTGTCGGCTTCTGTTGTGATGAGTTTCTGCCTCAAATCCTCGCAGAGCTTTTGCGCAGCCAAGTGTGCTTCTTCAGCGCTGAGGAGAAGCACATGCAAAGAAAATTAGTCTGTAGCTCGTTTTTTTTTTTTTAACCAAGGTGATATTTATAGGTATGACTGGAAGTAAACGCACCTGGTTACAGCATCCCTCAGCTGCTGAATCTCGCTCTCACTCTCACGGATGTTTGTTTCTGTCTGTGTGATGTGAGCGTCTTTCTCGCCAGTTAGGTTCAAGTACTGCTCATTCAAAGCCTTTAAAAAGATTAGAAGAACATGCATACAAATGTCAAATTAGTACATTCATCTCAATCATTTAAGCAATAGTTCCATTGTTGTTCTTGAATTGGTTCTTTTGGACACTGCTGGGTTTAATTAAATTGTAGGAGTCCTAAAAAAATAATATATATTGAAGTATATTATATATCAAAACATGTGATTAAAACATTTTTAGATAACATTCCCTGGAGTGACATGGAGTCAATTAAATCCAACAATCAAGTTAATCACAAATCAAAAAGATAATCGTATTACACTGCTGTTTCAAATCTACCTAATGCAATCAAAGAAATCAATCGTTATAACAAAACAAACTGGAAAAAGTCATATAATCACCTCCTGTTAAAGAGTAAACAAACCATGTTCCTGTAATGATGTAACTTGTGGTGTGTAACTTTTCTCCATCCCTGTAAATCCACTTATGATGAAGCTGCTGTTGCTCCAGGTTATGTATAGGACGTTGCACTTTTGACTGCGTGACCCATGTTTGTCTTTAGACTAGAAGTCAGTACATCAGACTTTTGTTTCTTTCAAATGATACTCTTTTTTAATATGACATGTTTCTCCTTTGCAAAGATTAAAGAACACATTCTTCCGTCACCATGTATCTACTTAGGTAGTAGATGGTAGGGATGCTTAATTAATCGTATTTTAATCGCGATTACGATTATGGCTCGCAACGATTACGAAAACAACGTAATTGAAATAAAAAGAATATTTTTTTATTATTACTTTTTTTTTTTTTTTTTATAATTATTGCTTTTTTTTCAGTTGAATTATACTTAAAGTTCAGGGTAACCAATTGTTAAAAAGATACTGTTCAAATCTTTTTTCTCCAATAAATTGATGTTTTCAAAGTAAATGGATAATCGTTTTTAATAATCGTGATATCAATCATTGACCCAAATAATCGAGATTATGATTTTTGCCATAATAGAGCAGCCCTAGCCGGCAGTACACTTTCCGTCACAGGAACACGCTTTGCTGGCGGCGAAAATAATCCCACTAGAATCGTTTGCCCCTCCCACAGAGGGATTTCCAAGTCCTTTTTCCTTTTCGTCATTTCAAGCGATAACAACTCTCGACCTTCTCTCGAATTGTTTATTTTTTTGGACGCTCTAGGCTCGAGTTCAGGGCGTTCCGAGCTGAATAAGGGCGTCAAATGACAGCAAGACGCCCCCCTGGCGGAAACGCTGTTGCTTGTCATTGTATTTTCATGTTTTTTATTAAGAAAAATTTACTTATCCACATTGCTTGCCGAAAGAGCAGATCTGCTGGCACTAACAATTAGGGATGTAACGACACCAAAAACTCACGGTACGATAATATCGCGATAAAAAGTCCACGGCACGATATTTATCGTGATATTGGAAAAAAAAAGTGTTTTTAATGTTGATATTAGAAGTGATATTCACGTTCGGTGATGCCTTTTCAAATGAGTGTGCAAGTTTGATGTATTGCCAGCCGCGAATCAATTAAGTGA